GTATATATATATATAAAAAAAAAAAAAAAAAAAAAAATAACTCACGATAAAGACTGGATCGATCGAAAGAACATTTTCAAGATAAGAGATGTCGCGGGAATTCGTATATTGGAGATTTAAAATCGTCGATGGACTGCGAATTTTCGTGCAAAATTTTTTAATATCAAAAGGAATGGAGAGAGTTGAACAGAGAGATTTGCTTTATTTTTCAATTTGTCGTTATTTACGAATTTTTGCACGGATATTCGCAGTTTGAGGTAGGCAAAGATGGAAGAAGAATTCTTATTGGAGAAAGGAAACGCGACTGAATTAATTATAATAATCGTATTTAATAGATTAACGTCAGATATATATATAAATATTATATGGGGAATGGGAAACAAGAATAAAGTTAAATACTATGTTATACAATTTAAATATATAAAGGGCAGAAATTTACATGTTAATCGTTCGTATGATATATATATATATATATAAAATATTAGCTTAAATATTATTATATCACGATTCTGATTGTAAGAGGAAGTTGTTCGTGTCTTAACTGCAACTTATCCTCTCATTTCCACAACAAATTTCTCCAACTCTTATTTTTAATTATATTTACTTTAAATTCCGTTCAACTTGGAGGCAAGATCCTTGTAAACTATGAAACCATCAAAATGATGATTTTTTTATTCCCTGTTTGTGTTTGCCGATCGAATTACAATCATTCATCCACGATACATTACACGGATCTGACAATTATTTTTTTATCTATCCAAGATTTAATAATTGATCCAACTGTTAACTTTTCAATGTTTCCACGCGTTTTGGGGATCAATCTATGTTTTTGAGAAATTTGTCGTTTTCCACAAAAGAGGGGGGGGGATCAAAAGTATCGACACACGTTTCTTCTCAAATACCAAAATACTCTTAAGGATATTAAGCGTAACTTATAATTTTCTCCGCTCGAACGAAGCGTGAAAAATTTCTAAAACAAAAATATAGAAAAAAAAAAAAAAAAAATAATGAAACGCATTCGTTTGTACATAAAATAGACTCGTATAAAATATAGCTCGTCCTCGTAATTCTATCATTATCATTATCGACCGAGAAATTACCGCAAGTATATCTTCT